AGACACCTGCTATTTCTAGAGCCAGACCGAACTCTTCTGTGTCCCTCTCTAATTTGGTGTTACTTGGATAATATTTTAACTGATTCATGGCTCCTGCCAACTGCCCCCACCCCACGGTTAAAGCTTGCCAATTGCCCCACCCCACAACATGGCTAAGCCCTGCCAACTACCCCCACCCCACAACATGGCTAAGGCCTGCCAACTGCCCCCACCCATAACATGGCTAAGGCCGGCCAACTGTCACCACCTCACCATACTGCTAACGCCTGCCACCTGTCCCCACTTCAACACGTGGCTAAGGCCTGCCAACTGCCCCCACCCCATAACATGGCTAAGGCCTGCCAACTGCCCCCACCCATAACATGGATAAGGCCTGCCAACTGTCCCCACTTCACCAGGTGGCTAAGGCCTGCCAATTGCCCCCACCCCACCACATGGCTAAAGCCTGCTATATTCCCCCGTTTCCATTTCCAGTGAGACTACCTCAGTGGCCATTAAGGGTACTCTTATGCTCCAAGCTGGAACTCACAAAGGAACACCCAAATCACATCCTTGTCTTGTCACTTCTTACCCATCAGGTCCACACAGCGCGTCATCTGCCCCCGACACCGCATGGTGCTGGCTTCTTCTGGAGATGATCGACTGTAACACTCCAAACCATTCTCTGCTCCAGAGTCTTCAACTGACAAAGAAAGGGATCATACACTTGTTTTATTGTTTTATATAAGAATAGGTGAGCTTTATATTGAACCTGAACTCCAGAATTAAAGATTTGATATTTTACAGGGGACCTCTATAAAATGTGCCAAAGCACTTCCATGGAAAATGGACCTTGTGCCTTGTATGCAGTGTGAGGTCATTGAAACCACTGCTGCCTCTGACTGCTGGTCTTAGAGATCTGGAGTGACATTTGGTGGTATTACTACTTTGCTTCTGACTGTTATCCTTACTGAAGAGGAAGGTGTACCTGAGGACCAGGAGTGCAAGCATCTCCCTGCTTCTGCTTCATCTATTCCATGGATCTGTGCTTCCTCCACAACTCCTGCTGCTTCTATCACAGTACCCCACCGGATCAATGTATACCAGCCCATCAATGTATACCAGCCCATCAATGTATACCAGCCCATCAATGTATACTAGCCCATCAATGTATACCATCCCATCAATGTACACCATCCCATCAATGTATACCAGCCCATCAATGTATACCATCCCAACAATGCATACCATCCCATCAATGTATACTAGCCCATCAATATATACCATCCCATCAATGTATACCAGCCCATCAATGTATACCAGCCCATCAATGTATACCATCCCATCAATTTATACTAGCCCATCAGGTTCCAAGGATCAGGTGAATATAACATTGTTGTTTTTGACCTAGTCAAAACGAGCACTTAACTCTTGCAGTGCCGGGATAGCCCCACTGTAACAGCTAAGAAAATGTTTCACCGGAGTATTGCTTTAACCCTTCCAGTGCGGGGGTAGCCCCACTGCAAGGGTAAGTTTTTGAAATTCCGTGGTGGTTCTTTAAAAGAAATGTAACAAAGCACTTTCTTTTATCAGCAAGCTGCTCTTTGCCTACTCTTTCCTTACTGAGTAACAATAAACTGCAGCTTATCAATCCATACCAAGTCATTGATTTATATAAGGATCTTGGGAGTGGCCATTTATAACCAAGTACATAAACTTAGCACCCAGGACTTAGTTTTATTAGCATGTGAGGCCTCATTTTTTTATTAGCAGCTCTCAGGTGGAGTCCTGTCAGGCAGCTACTTTGGATTTTATTTGACGCCTTCTCCTTGCTGACAGTTTTCATCTCAAACAAACATATGTCATGTGGATGGTATTACCTGCAAAGTCTCCCGTATTGCACAGGCTGCCGTTGCAGCAGCGGTGGCTGCAGGAATACGACACTGGACTTTTCCCGTTGCTGAAGGCAGCCAGCCCCGGACACGATGAACTGTTGCTACAGCTCTTTATCATGGTGTGATGGATGTCTGCAATAAACAGAGACAAAGCGATAGAAACGCTCTACTGGCACAGCCGGGGCCCATGCATCAACAGAAAACGGCAATATACTGAAAATAAACATTGCAATATAGTATTAAAAAGACACTTCAGACATAAAACAGGAGCGTGCTGCTTATGTGCTCTATAAACAGCCAGCCATCGGCTCTGCAAGTGTCCTGCATGCTACACGACTGCAGGAAAACAGCTGAAGATGATCATTTTTGCCCAGCCTGCTGACCTCACTCTTCCCTACTACAGTTAGGCAACACAGCTTGGTCACATCCCCGCCCCCATGTTGTGATTGGACAAATAAACAGCAGCTCAAGGATGATGTCCTTACTTTGCTGTCTCCACCTGTCTTCATGTTCCTTGTCAGCACATGCAGCAAAGCCTGATTGGCTTACAATGCGGATTTCCACCTTCCCTGACTCCTACTGTACGGGGGAATGCAAAAGACTGACGTTAAGGCAGATTCAATTGATTACATCAGTTGCATTTAAAAAAAGATGATGTTTAGGGGTCTATTTATAAATGTTTTCACACAAGATTCACATGACTTCAACCCAACATTCACACGTTTTCCTAAATGGATTCAAGTGGAACATGTGTGAATGCTGTGTGAAGGTTGTATGAAAACGTAAATTGACGAGAGAG